TTATTCAAATTCAACGACAACGAGACGGTGATACCGCCCGAGAAAGCTCTACCGAATTCAGTTTTCCTATTCGACGACGTGATAACAGAGAACCACAATATCATTCGATCGTACTTTTCGAGATCCAGGCATAATCTAATAGACGTGTGTTATTTAGCACAGTCGTATTCGCGTGTACCGAAACAATTGATTCGAGACAATGCTAATTTCATAGTTTTATTCAAGCAGGACGAAATGAATCTGAAACACGTTTACGACGAACATTGCTCGGGTGATATCAAATACAACGAGTTTAAAGATTTTTGCATGACGTGTTGGCGTGGCGGTAGATTTGAATTTATTGTCATCAGCAGTGAACACGAGCGCGATAACGGTCGCTATAGACACGGATTCGACACATATGTTATTATATAATAAGCCGGTACGTCGAAATATAACACATTTGCCTGGTATCATGAGAAAGGTAAACAACTTGCCGTCGGTGTCACCGTCACCGTCGTTATTGGCGGATATTATTCAAGCTAGAATGAATATAAAAAAAAAATATTCTGCGCTAAAAACCGGTCGTTTTGAAACTGAATCATTAGTAAATAATACACTCAGTTCTATTATCGATCCTCTTAATAAAATACGCGACAATATCGATACCCCCCGCACGCATTCATCGGTACACCAGCCGCTGCGCCCACCCGCGTCGCCGACCAGCACACCGTCGTCAACACCTTCGGCGTCGCGTCAGACAACACAACGACCGTTATCAGATGTCTATAAAAAACATTCCACCGCCTCATCATCATCATCATTATCATCATCGCCGGCGCTTACTACACAATACGATTTGAATGAACTATACAGACAGTGGCCGAAAGCTGAATTAGATAAATTATACGCACCTAAAAAATCAAAAAGTGGCGAATATGTTTTGGGTAACAAAGAAATTAAATTTATCGATAATGAAATACACATCGAAGATGATGATGATGCTAGTTTTCATCCCATAACGCCCGGACTTATCGAGTTATTATTCGCCAAGTCCCCGGCGGCTGAAAAATATACACGTGATGATTTAAGTGCATATAAACGTATTCTAATTCAGACATCGGCGCACTTGACAGCAGACGGTGGGCGTATCCGCATGTCCGTAGGGGCAAAATACTTGAAAATAATTTCAAAACTCTTCGATGTCAAAAAGTCTGGTAGTGGTATAAATATACGATTACAGAAACATAATATTGTATATTGGAACGATCCTAATGAGCTGGTAGATCGATTACGGTTATTATATTCGTCTCTCGCGGCTGGCAATACAGGTGTTCGTAACGAGATAATCTCGATTTGTGGAGAATTGGTCGAGGCTGGTATATTGAAAAAAATTCCGAATGTCTAAGCACGAGATCGCGGCTGAACTTCACGGAGCAGCAAGAAGGACATACCCACGACGTCGCGTCATTGTTTACGGTAAAAACGATTTATACCAAGCGGACCTCGTCGACATGCGCCAATACTGCAACGTCAATAAAAATTATAATTATATATTGACTGTGATTGATTGTTATACAAAATACGCTTACGGAATCGCATTGAGGACTAAACGCGGTGACGAAGTGTCAAAGGCCGCTAGTGGCATTTTTGCACAGAATAGACCTAACCTATTACACGTCGATCGGGGGCGCGAGTTTTACAATAAAAATTTCGAGGCTTTAGTAAAGAAGTATAATATAAAAATGTATAGCACTTTCAGTGCTTTAAAGGCTTCGATAATTGAGAGATTTAACAGGACTTTAAAAGCTCGAATGTTTAGACAATTCACTAGCAAAGGTTCTCATAATTGGACGTCTATTTTACCAGAGTTAATTAATGACTATAATAAAACGATGCATACAACGATTGGTGTGACACCGCAGCAAGCCAACGACGACCCGTCACGGGTAAAATTAAAATACGTCGCCGCGAAAACCACAAAAATCAAGTTTAGCGTTGGCGACAAAGTCCGCGTAAGCGTATACAAGGGTGTTTTCACAAAAGGATATTTACCCAATTGGTCTACCGAAATATTTACAATTATTAAAGTGAACAAGACTACGCCGTGTACATTCATATTGCAGGATTACGAGGGTAACCCGATAGCCGGTGGTTTCTACGCCGAAGAAATACGTAAAACGAAACTACCTAATGATTATCTAGTGGAAAAAATAATTCGCACCAAAGGCCAGCGGGTGTTCGTACGCTGGTTAGGTTTTACCGACGAGCATAATAGTTGGATAAATAAGTCCGATCTTGTAATATAAGTGCAGTTATCACGACGTCATGGATGTGTTCGGGGGGTCGCCGTCTAGTCAATTGAATAAGACAATCACCGACATGAAAGAAAAATTTGCCGAACAACTCGACTCCCACGTTAATTTGATCGGAATAAATTATTCGAAAATCGTGAAGCTTGATGAAAAGTTTACCAATGAATTAGGTTTGCACACTAACTTAATCACGGCCAACGATGAAAAAATATCGTCGTTCAACGATCGAGTCCTAGCGAACGAAATGCAAATAATTCGACTAGGAACAATCGGGTCAGTGCAGGTGACCGATAAATATTTTTTAGAAAATAATAATAAAATCGAATCGTGCATTGAGTCCATAGAGGATGTAAATAAATACATTAAAGATTTAAAAGTCTCGTTGGCTCATGCGTATGCCAGAATAATTATACTCGAGGACAGATTCGCAGAGAATTCGAAACAGTCAGATCCCTAACCTGTTACCCGTAAGACGCGTTATATATTTATATATATATATATATTTATTTGTATTAACTCTCGACAAAGTGGATTATGGCGTCGGCTATCATAGATATTCAATGCATACTGGGTTTGAATTTTAAATATCTAATAAAAGAAATGTCAATTCTCGATGTAAACAACCGCGGTAGTCAACATTATATTTTCAAACACAATGAAACACCGTGTACGGCTAAAAGTAAAGCGGTGAATATGTGGCTGTACCGTAACTATCATCAGCTTTCATTGGGTTGCGGTGACGTGGAATATTCGCAAATCGAAAGAATTTTAAAATCACTTCATTTCAAGTGTGTCTACGTCAAGGGTGCGGAAAAACGTAAGATTATACAAGATTACATTCCAGAAGTTGATGTCATCGATTTGGGCGTGGATCACGACTGCCCACGATTAAATCAGCTGGATCGACTATATACGTCATCTACTGGCAATAATTATTACGATGATAATACTAATAATAATAATAATAATAATAATTCTATTAATTATAATGTTAACTATTCTAGCAATCGTGTTGAAAACTATGACCTAGGATCTCCGTGCTGTATATATCATATAGACTTAGATCGCACACAATGTACATATCATAGAGTTTATGCATTGCGCAGATGGCTTATAAATAATCCGTAGAATAATATTATTTTGATTTTATATAATATTATAATGTATAATTTTTATAAATAATATTATATTTTAATGAATAAACGCATACATATTATATTATACAGTCGTAGAGTTTTTTATTTGAACGAAAATGTCTACATCTACATACACGTAGTATAGCGCCATAATCGTGTGGTAATGCATAAACAATGCATATCACACTGTTCGATCATCATTCATGAGCAAAATATTATCAATATATATATATATATATATATATGCGGCGAGACGGTATGTATGATATTTGATTCCACATGCACCTGACAAGGAATGGCGAAAAAAAAAAGTATGCAATCACCGCAATTATTGCTGTATCGCTAATAATGTTTATCGAACAATGTGGTGTCATTGTTCCGCCCGCCCGTCAATGTATGCTGTTGCATGGTCATTTTCGCGCGCACAAGGATCGTTGCGGTCGAATATAGCGTGATCAAGGGGGGTGGTGGGGCGTTAGTGTCTCTGCTGTCATTAAGTTAATTGAATTGCAGTTAATTATAATTTAGTCGTCTTCATCAACCCAAACGTCTACAACGCCATCAGCTCCAGCACTGACTTATCATCGCCATCGTTATATAAAGTGAGTTACATATTTAATTTATTCTACAATAATAATAATAATTTATATTATATTATACAAAATTAACAGGAGTTATATTTTTCAGTTCTGAATTCATTCCCTATCCAGTATCCACATTCAACTACGTCAAGAACTACACGATCTACTAAAAATAAAAGTGAGTTAATTTAATTAATTAATTAAATAATTATATACATATATATACAATTGCAAGGCTGGGCATTAACGAGTTAAAAATTAAAATTAAGTTAATTTTAATTAAGTTAATTAACTCGTTACTTTTTTTTCAAATTAACTTTTAACTTAATAAGTTACTTTTTTTTCAAGATTAATGTGTTAACTTCAAGTTAATTTTATTTCAAAAATATCTAAATTAAGTTAATTTTCTTCCGAAGAATAATGTAAATTTTTTAATGTGTTTTTACTTTGATGTATCATTTTAAATTTCCCCAGTAATTTTCTTAGACGTAAAGAAAAACTATCTAATAAACCACATAAACCACATTATGTGTCTGGAATTTTCTATTTTTGCAAATTAGCAAATTTTAACTTTACACTAAGTTAAGTTACTTTTTTTTTTTTTTCAAAGTTAACTTTTAACTTAACGAGTTAACGATAAAAAATACGAGTAACTTTTAACTTAACTTAACTTAATTATTTTAAATAACTTAACTTAACGAGTTAAAAAAAAAAAAACATTAACTTGCTCAGCCTTGTACAATTGTATCAGACATAATTTTAATTCGATATTAATACCCGATATTTTTGTTTTAGTTCATCTCGACCCTGTAGTTCACCTGCAAACCCCGTGTCACCATCGAACTCTTTTTCAAGTATCGAAAACATAAAGTGAGTCAATTTTTACTCTAATAAAATAATAAAAATATCTATATTGCGGTAGACGTGTACAACTAGCGTTTAGACAATATATTTTTTATCTAATATTTTTTTTTTTTTTTGTTTACAGAATGGCATTTTTACAATCGTTAAAAGCGCAAGTGAATTGCAAGAATCTTTCGGTCGGGGAACTCCTCAAGGACGTTCCATACACCATACGGTCCATGAAAAATGTGGACACCAAATTTGGCACTGCGGTGTCGTGTATGCTAGCGGATCCCGAAGGCGTTGGCTCAATCAACGTGTTTCTTCCGAAGGCAATCAGGATGGACGACGTGGACATTGAAACCTACAATCTGGGTGTAGTACCGCCTGTTAGCCTCATTTACAAGGGGTTAAATAGAAGGACTTTTATAATAGATTTCCAATGAAATCTCATTAAACTTTATTATTTTATTGTTTAAATAAAAAAATTTGAAAATATGTTATTATTTACATTTTATCTAGATCCTATAATTTTAATAATTTTTGAATCGATGCAAATGAATGATACATTATATACATTTAACAGGTTATATGGTAATCCTCGTAAATATGAGGTGGTGAAATATTTTATATTTATAAGATTTTATTATTTTATAGTTTGTTGTTGTTTTTTTTTTTTATACGCATTTAGGAGACGTATAATATAATTGTATACATTTAGCGTGTAGTATAATAATTATTCTCACGAAGATGAGATGGTTTTTTTTTTTTTATTTAATATTATATAAGGTTTATATTATTTAAAAATGATATCAGTAAGCATTTAATAAAAATTTTATGGAGTACGGCAAAAAAAAAAAATAAATTCAGAAACAAAAATGTAGTATATAATAAAATTTTATTTAAAATACATTATAGGATTATAAATATACATATCCGTGTCAAATTTCAACAACAGTATTTTTTTCCAATGAAGAGTTTCTTTAGGGGGACTGTCATCCCACAAATGAAAGCCGCTCATATGAAGAGACTGTGCATCGTCTGAAAATATGACGCGCGAATTAGTTTTTATTTTTTAAAAAATACTAAAAGTAGCAAATTTATTTATATATATTCTAGTATATATATATATATATATATATATATATATATATTAAGACTCACTTAATATTTCTCCGCTGTCGGGGAATTGTCCAGATATCAGGTGTAGCATAGGTAACGGCGAGCTCGAGTCTGGTGATTTCCACGGAAATCTCTGTCCTGCATGAAACCCGAGTGAATAATTGACGGAGGGTTTTTCGACTTCGACTACTCGTAACTTGTAATCGCGCGGATCGTACGATTCCGCGAATAAATCAGGTGACTAAAAATGAAATAAAATAAATTTTAATTTAAGTAGAGTGGTACAAAATTATAAAACTTACCGTGCATCGAGACTTGAGCCCATATTCGAAAAACGAGCACTCCTCTGACGACATATTAAGATATCGTTATTACACGCGAGTAAATGTGTAACTCCAAAGACTGACTGACTGACTGCCGGAGAAGTGCTAGCCATCAGAACACCGTATGTAGGCATATCAAATATCCTCGTCCGCTTCTTATCACAGCGCGAATGGGCGGGGGTTTTTTAAAAATAATAATAATAATAATAATGTTGTCGAGACCTCGGTAAGATAAGGGTGAGTATTCGATTAGATAAGGATAAGAAGATAAAGATGAGGTAAAATATGATAAGGATGAGAAGATTAGGTTGCGATACTAAAATAATAATTTAAAAACACGAGATTAAATACAAAACGTAGTTAATATAATATTTTAGCATCGTACACTCTCATATTTTTATATACAACGGTTGTATTTCACGATTATACATTATACATATACATATATTTTATCAGGTTATATAAGTATGCAGCAGTCACATTTCACGATTATACAATTTATACAGATATTTTAATAGATTATATATATATATATATATACAGATATGAGATCGTTGAACAATAATAACAATAATAATAATAACAATAATAACAATTTAATAATTTATGCGGTGATGACCGTGTGCGTACGTCGAAATGTTGTCCGGTAACACGTAACGCTTGTCGTCTGCCCTGTTCAAGACGAGTTTCATAGATCTAATTGTGCGTAACTCGTGCTTAAACGAGCGTATAGACACATTTTCCCTATACGGCGTGAATGGCATGTAGCTGTAGACGTGGGATGGATGCGTGACCGACGCCGCCGCCGCAACCGTCGTCGACGAATTGGTTGAGCCGGTTGAGGCGTTCCGATGAATTTGAGCGACAGCTTTAAGTGCGGAATCGGCAGCGATCATTTTCCCCATATTTGCGTCGAATTCGTCGTCGCACTCGTCGGATTCTGCATCGTCGTCCACGTCAGCGAATAAGCACCGCTTATGCTCGGCGAAAGTGAGGTGATTACGAATCACGTGCCTCATAACACCCTTCGCGCGAATTTCGACGTTCTGTTCCACGTCATAGGCATAGGATTTAGCCCGCAAAGCAACGAATTCGTAGACCGTCCTGGAGTTACACTCGAATTTAAAAAATCCTGGAATACGCTTCCGAGCAACCGTATAACACTTGTGGTCGTGTGGAAAATTCGAGGTGTCCATAAACCGCATCAGATTTGGATTTTCAATAAGATCGGTGTGGAAATCGTTTGTCGTCACGCGGTAGAATAGTGAATCTGAAACATGTAATAATAATAATTATAAAAACTGCATAGCCATGCACGAGTTTTATATAGACGTACCGGTATCGGTATAAAGCAGCTCGATCTTATCGCCGTAATGACGTTTCATGACGTCATAATGAAAACCGTACATTACAACTTTGCTGAGTTCTAGCACGGAGAATCCTATGTAGATAGGCTTACAGAAATCCACTTCTTTACCATGTTGGGTGACCACCGAGAGATTTTCATTATACGTCGTACAGTATTTGAACGTCGGTCGATTTATGAGTTTCCGCATTCTGCGCGGGCACGATACAAGCTCTAAGTTGAATCTAAGTCTCATATTCTCAATAGTTTTCCCTGCGTACACACAGTTATCATGAAGTAAAACTTAAGCGGAATAAAGCTCAGAAAAAGTTTTTGAAAAAGTTTTTGAAAAAAATATAATTTTTTTAATTTATAAATATCATACCGAACACCGAATTGTTTAAATCTTTGAAAAACTTTTCTTCGAATATGTTGGTTGCCCGCTTGCGTAATTCGGTGTTGAGGTTTATGTACGGTGCCATCCATGGGGATTGTCGGAATTCCAATACTCGGTGCGTCTGAAATGTACGAAAAAAGTTATAAGAACCGTATACATAAAATAATAATAATATTAATAATCACTTTTTCTACTACAACGCCGTGGGCCATGGCCTGCTTTAAATTCATATAATGAACGACGTATCGTTCTTTCCGCATAAATGTGACCATCAACTTTCGCACGGTGGACCCGCGTGGTATGCTAGCGTGAGGCAAGAACGGCATATCATTGTGGGCGTCGTGTAGATGTTGAGGATACGAAATGTCGACTTCGTAAAATCTGCCAATGTCATCAGTCTCGCGCATCCACTGTAGCTGGTCGAGGGCGACTTCGGGATTTCCCGGATACCACGTGAAATCGCTAATCGGCATATATTTGCACATCGCGTACCCGTACAAATTGTTTGCTAGAAGGAGGAAAAATTAGTTAATATACACACAAGTATATAATTTATATTTTGATAATCACCATCTAGGTATATGAGCGACGTGTTAGGTTCTTCAGCATTGTATCCAGGCGTTTCTGGATTGTTGGCGCGCGCGTGACGTTTACTGGCCTGCACTAGGCCACCTCTCACGCCTGACTCTAGGAATAAAATTTTCTCAAAATCGTTCAAAAGAAAAAGCTCAACTTTCGTAAGTTTCAGCATACAGTCAAAGCTGAAACCGGGTAGCGTGTAGTATTGTGCGGGGTCGAGGTGATATGTGGTCATACATATATCCCTGAAATTCTCGAACACGTCGGCACTTAACAACACGTCAACTTTAAGGTATAAATCGCTATAAGTCCCGAGTGAGGTGCAGCCGAAATGATTCCAGACCCTTGTCGCGTGACTATAATCCTCGTCGCTCACGTGCGTCTCCGTCAACGCGCTGTAGAATTGGAACTTATCCGGCAGCGACGTAGCGTCCAATTTATCCCACGAATCTGTATATTCATACGGATATACGCCTTTCCGCGTGACCAACTGCATCTCCGACGGGGCGAACACTTTCGCGACTTCGCGAAACTTATCAAAGTTCGCGGAGGAGAGGTTCTCCGCCAAGCCTGCCAAGCTCGACGCCATGAACCGACACGTGTCTACAAACCTGACGGAGAACGAGTTGTTAATATACTTCGAAAATGAAATATACTTCTCCTCAGTGTTAGCGATTACCGATATTCGATTATTGTCGTCGTTCGCTAAATTCGTTACGATGAAATGTGCGTCGTAGTTCGAGAGATTATGCAGGAAGCACGGGACGAATTTTGGTGTTTTCAACTTAAGGTTGCACGTGTTACATAACGTTTTTAAAAAACGTCCCGACAAGTGGTCGTGGTGTGCAGTTTTACAATTGCGTTCGCTAAACGTGCAGCTGCACAAGTCGCACATCACCTTGGCGTCGTGCACGCGGCAATCCACAACACTCATAGAAATCGCCACGTTAACTTCCTTATACAATCTGCCTATCTTGGCGGTTACATCGAGGACGTCGCGGACAAAACGCTTGGCCACATCGTCTTCGGTCGCCGAGCCTCGGAAAATGACGGGAGCACTCGGAATGTCGAACTGGTCAAATAAATCTATTGGTACCCCCTCCGCTGCGACGACGAGGTAACCGTAACTCATGGGGTGGTGCGTGTGCATCGCCGTGGTATTATCACCTTGTTTTCGCCCCGTTTTCAGTAGTAAGGCTTCGAAGTCGGCATACACTACGAATGGGAGTCGTTCCGTCTTACACCACGCCTCGAATTTAAGCGTATCCCCCTCTTTCGGCATAAGAGGAACAACCGGTTTGTGTGAGCCGCACAGTAAACGATGTTTCACCAACGCCTGCTCGCCGTGTAATTTATATTTTAATGGGCGGTCCTCGAAACTGGTGAAACATCGCTTACAGTAAAATAATTCATGCTGGTGATTATTTTTTTGTGGGCTGGCTAGTCGTGAAAAATTCGATATAAACCCATAATGATTCATGTCGTCTTTCCCACTAATCAACAGCAGTCGAAATGATCTGCTTTTTCCTCATCCGCGATGCGCAGAGGGTACGCGACAGATTGTGTGCTCGATTTTTTGTTATTTTTATTTTTCACGCATTTTCTTACGCCGTATACATTAACGCTCGTGTCGGGATTCGACTTTTCAAATACCTTTATCTCCGACACGGGGGTAGGAGACGATAACGTAGAAAAATCATCGACCTTCTTCCCTTGTATAATTATCACCTACTCTTGTGCGATCGTGAAGTACGTGTTTGGCTAGGATCGCCCACTTAAAACATTGCCGGTCGATATTTTGTGGGTTGATAACGGCCTTCCGGTTCAGAATACTTTCCGGCAACGGTAAGTACGACGATCCCCCCATAGGCGTGTACTCGTACACACCCAAGAGCAGTCCATCGATGCACGATAAGGCGAATCCACTATACTTTCCGGCGTAACAATCCTCTTCAGCCTGGAGCGATGCGAAATCGCGATCGACTAAACCCTCGACATTACTGTGCGCATACAATTCACGGGCTGAAGTTTTAAATGCGCGGTTTTGAGCTGAATCGTGTAAATTTGGTACGACGTATGTGGCCTCTAATTTCAGGTTGTATTTGATCGGGTTAATACGCGCGCACTCGCGTAATTTCGCGATTAATTCGGACTCTATTGAATTTAGGAAAGCTCGGTAACTTGTCACATTATCAATATTTTTCCTAAAATACCACACGATAGTACGGTCGAGCGAAGACTCGATCTCAATAAAGCCCGGGCTATTAACCCTTAGCATACGTGACTTTTTCCGTTTGATGTTTTTCGGAGTATTTTCTGTATAGGCAACAAATTCCCCGGTTGGCGGTGGTGAAAGCGAAAGCGGTTGTGCGGCGGTCACGGGAGATCTTGCGTCGGGTTCGTTGGCGATAACCTGTGCGGGTGGCGGTGAAACCGTCTCCGGTGTGCGGGACGTGGATGTTGAGTCTTGAGGTTGGGGGGTAGGTATGTCCTCACGACGGCAGCGGCGGCGTGTCGAGATGACCGTCGGAGTCAGAACAACTGGCTGGGCATGCGGTGTAGCGGGGGAGGGTGCCCACTTTATGACTGATGTGCGACCTAACATATATTATTATTATTATTATTTATAAGAGAAAAAAAATTATTTACCCATTGCACCACCACCTACTCGTACAGCGTCACGGAATTCTGGAGTGTTTTTAGCGATCTCTATTTTAAAAATAATTTAATTAATAACCCTGAGTATTGTGGAGTCGGAAAAAAACATCGTTTGTGTGAAAATCAAATTTTTTACTGAACATGAAACTAATTTACTATCTCTTATTCGAGCTATGAAAAATGATACAAACTAGTATTTATACTTAGGTATAAATAACTAAGAGGTTTTTTCTGGTTCAACAATATAATATTCAATGTACTTACTGTGGCGATTTTGAACGTGTATACTGAGATTGTTCCGTTGGGTGAACGTCATGAGGCATATTCCGCACGAATTAGTAGATCCACCGTGGATTTTAGCATGTCTATTCAGATCGCGCTTATGAACGTACACTTTTTCACATAACACGCAGTTAAACATTTTTAAATATTTTGTACTAGAGAAGTTATTTAACAGAGTTAGCGAGGTAATACAAATGTACAACAGTTGTAGACGAGCTGCACTGACCGTCTGATCTGTAGAACATATGCGTTGGCGGTGGACGCGAATATCGGATGCTGTGGCGCGAAATATATGGGGAGGGGTGATTCTTTCATATATACTAATATACTGCTATACTAGACTATGTTTAGAGTATATATATATATATATATATATATATATATACGTATATACTACAGCTAGTATGTACATAGTATATAGGTATGTGCATAGTATATACATAGTATGTAGTATGTACATAGTATATAGGTGTGTGCATAGTATATACATAGTATGTAGTATATACATAGTATGTAGTATGTATGTAGTATGTACATAGTATGTATGTAGTATGTACATAGTATATAGGTGCGTGCATAGTATATACATAGTATATAGGTATGTGCATAGTATGTACATAGAAGGTATATAGTATATATAGGTATATATAGGTATATACTATAGCATGTTCGGAGTATTTACTATATATATATATATATATATATATACCGCGGGGGCCCGCGATGACGCGGGAGGAGCCGGATTACGTAGTTCCGGTGCGGGACGGGCGGGGGATTGGCGGAGTGGCGCGGGATGACGCGTAGTACTGGTGGGGAGAGTGGGGGGAGAGATTCGCACGATGACGTAGGGAAACGCGACCGATATACAAGCGGGGTGGGGCGGGGGTAGCGCAGCTTGGCGTCTGGTAGCGCGGTATAGGCTGGGGGTGAGGCGGGGGGCTAGCGCGCTACGTCACCGATGTTTTGGGGGTGGAGGGGGGAGGGTGGCGGGGGGAGCGCAGACTAGCGCAGTATAGGCGGGGGGAGGGTGGCGGGGGTAGTGCAGGCTAGCGCAGACTAGCGCGGTATAGATGGGGGGGTGGTGAAGCGGGGGGTCACCAGTACCGGCCTTTTCCTACTACTCACTGTTATAGTAACGAGCAGTTGGACATACTAAAAAATCTGATTAAAAAACAAAAACCAGTAACTGGGTATTTGGGTGCAACTGGTACAGTGGTCAGGAAAATTGACAAGAACAGCAAAAGGGTTCTGTACTATGTTCTAGTTGTTAATGTCCCATTACCTAGAGACTCAAGTGTCACGTGTCCTGTTGTTGAAATGATTAGTTCAGCCCACTTTTAAAGCATTCGTTTTGAAACACAAACTGACTTGTCCAGTATTCACAAATATTGTGACAGATTTCAGTTATGCCCAAATGAATGCCTTGTGTATAGGATGGAATGGTTTTACTTCCATATTCGACTACCTTAACTGGTGTTACAGAGTATTGGTTGAAAACCACGACGAATCTAATGTCACCATCATAAATATATGTGCAAATCATTACACAAAAATTATAGTAAACCATGTGTACACATATTTTAAATCTGAGAAAAACCATCGTATGACTGTAGAAAAAACGAAAAGAAATGATGTCATTGATTGGATATGTATACTTTTTAACACAACCAGTTTGACAGATGTTGAACAATGGTTCAAAATATTTTCAGTAATACTGTTATCACCTTATGGTACAGTACACACGAAAAATGCCATTAGTACAATGAGAGCCAAGTGTTATGATAAATACCAATTGCCAAATGAATCGAACAACGAAGGTGAGGATCACTCGGAGGAAATAAATAAATTTCTATGCGAATCCAACACGAGTAATTCCATGATGTTGTGTAGATTTCAGTCAATCAAAGAACAGGTTAAATCTGAAGTCTCAAATTGTGCTGAAAATATTGAAAATTTAAGCATTAATGAATATTATGATGAATCATATTTACACGAGTTTATAGTTAAGTGTGTACCTTTCTTAGCACTGTGGACACCTATTATGAATAATAAACTCAGCAATGGCATTGAAATCCGCCAGAGTAATGCTACCGTTGAATCTTGGTTTAAAACAGTCAAACAAGACATACTAGAAGGCGACCGTAGGTTTAAATGCGGCCGGTTTTTAAAACTTATGAGACAGCGTGTGACGAATGTACACAAACAAATGAAGTACAATATTAGAAAAGGAAAGTGCACTCATGCGCTTGATTTTGACACTAAGTCTAAACAGAGTACTACTAAAGAAAATGGAAAAAGAAAAATTTTAGAATTGTCTAGCCTTAACCATTTAGACGAAACAGAGAGTTGGGGAAAAAAAGAAAACAACACAAACACCTCCAACCCATCAAGTACCGTCCTTTCAAAGCACTGTCTTTAAAAATCCCAAAGTCTTCGACCACTACAGCAGATAAAAATAACATTGTGGTTATAGAATGTGACAATGAGACTGGGTTCACTGTTGATAAGCCTATGAACAACGACATGGTTGTACATGAATTGAGTAAGCCATTGGACGATTGTTTAACAAAATCAGTTTCGACACCCGGCAGTCATAAATCTCCGTTTCGACTATCAGCTCTAGCTATGGATTTATACCAAAATATGCTCCCTAAAGATTTGGCGTACTATAAACCAATTAAGATGCCAAAAAATAAAGATTATATAGTTGTAAAATATAGTAATTTATTACCTAGTGCTCATAATTCTAACGTCAAGATCGACCTGGATTTCCCAGAATTTGATTCATTGTCTGGAACAAACTGGGTGTCTAGCTTTGTTATAGATATTTGTTTGTTGTCATACGCTAAAAATCTGAGCTTAGAAAACACACACATTTTATCGTGCTTTGATGTGACTTTACTGTTTAGTAAAAGAGTAGTTGGGGAAGTGCATGACAAAATTACTTTCAATCAGAACAGTATGGTTATACTTCCATGGAATATTGGTCGTACTCACTGGATTGTAGTCTTTATAAATTTCAACACCAGACAGTGTTATATCATGGACCCGTTTAAGCCATATGATATAAGCCAACGAATATCAAAAGATCGTTTCAATCAAGTAATTAAAATATTGAAATCGGATGTCATCTACGGTGACGGCACACATCAATGTCCACCCTTAACACTGATGCCATGCCCTTTTGAAAATGTTCCAAAGGAAATTTACGCATACAATTGTGGAGTATATATTATATATTACGCATTTAAATTTATGGACAGTTCCAAGTTAAGTTTAGAGTTTGATCCTAAAGCTTATAGAGAATATTTAAAGACCTATCTATTAGAGAATTCCGAAGACATGACAAATGTATGTTTATACTGTGGCTGGAACTCAGACAGGCACCGTTGTCGACTAAATGATGAATGTGTAGAATGGGTGTCGTGTTCTCGGTGTTGTCGCTAGATAGCCATTAATTGCATCCCTGAAGAAGACAGTATTGTTAATTACGAAATTGACGATTTCTTCTGTTTATTGTGTAAGAAATGATGAAATTAA